GAGCGCCGTAACCACCTGGCCACGCCGGGCCTAAGGAAGTGGATGAATCCAAGTTAAACATCGTGCATATTTCGGTAAAATGCTTACAGTTATCAGTTTCGAAATGAATTTCTTTCAGAATTGCACGTGGAGCACTCACTGTCAGTATCAAAACATTCAAACAACCGCCGTTTTTAATACTTTAGAACAGGAGTGAACTCTGGTCGTTTTATTTGTTATTTAACATACAGTATCCTATTCTTCTCTTACGTCTTCTTCTTCATAATCATTTTATCAATATCAGATCAATACTTCTACACGAAAAAAAAAGAAAAGGTTTGGCACTAACCTTTTTTTTTCCTTTCTTATAATGTAATAAGTTATTACCAGCATACTCTTTTTTACTTCATTCCTACACAACTTTACTTCCTGCGTGTTGGATATTATCGACAAGAAAGATGAATAGTTCGAATTACAGAGTGAAAAAAAGAGGAACGCATATATCTATGTAAATAATTAATACACGAGTTCCAGATTATTTCCTTTTTTTTAAAAAATCCTGTCCAAAAAATCCGCCAAACTTTCTCACGTAAAATAAAGGCTATAAAAATATTATTGTGACAGGATTATTTTGTGATAGTTTTCCTAATATCATATGAAATAAATATCTGGAATAATACGTTTTTCATCACGTGTTCTTAAAATGTTCGTAGAATTCAAGTAAAGACATGTGTTACAGACAAGTACGAGATGAAATGCAGAAACGTTTTCTATTTGAAAAATGTGTTAACAATGAAGTTATCAATGTCACAGTGATAAAAAACCCTCGTAAAAAAGAAAAAAATAAGTTCCATAAAACCTTCGTATCCATTCACTAACAGCACGTGAGAACAAAAAACAAGTCAATAAATGTGATGGTCATTATAACAGACTCAAGTTTCGAATTTCTTACAATATACAAAGCACAATTCTCTTGAAAATATGTTTTTATGTGCCCTATATAGGGATGGTTAAAGACCAAATTTGCTTGTGTTTGTTTACTTACTATATTAGAAAAAAGATGAACGTGCTACTTCAACACACACACACAAACACACACACTTATTTCGCCAATTCGTTTCACATCGAGCGTTTGTATAAGCAGATTGGATTTACTAGCCTCCCTATCTAAGTGAACCCGTATTGGCTACATCAGGCCTAGTATTTTCCACCACCAACGATCTGTAAGCCGGTAAGAATATTACAGATCTGCTCGTCGCCAGCTTTGAACACGAATCCGACCATGAAATCAGCAAAGAGTTTTGTCAACAGAATTACGAGCGTTGGTCCGGGCCGGGAGGTGAACACGTGGATAGACTAATTGAAAAAGAAGAAACAAACGATCCGCTATATGGTCTTTATCATGGTGAGTGGGGGGAACTTAACGACAGTTTGTACTGAAATGTTGACTGACTCATGGTTCTCTTGATCATGGACTCTAACCTTAAGCTGTAAGGGCCAAGCTATTGTCACACAGATGTCTTCGGAAATGAAGTAACAGTGAATGTATAATTGGTTTTTTTTTTTCTGTCTCACCGCTTGATGTCTTTATTAGGTTCATGTTCACCCCAACCGTCAGTGATTATTTTCAAAATGTCTGTTTAAATGTGCACTTTGCTTGAGTATGACGCTGCGGTAATACTGATAAATTTATTATTATTTGCCAAAACAGCAACAGCATTTTTCAGCCATATATATGGAATGGTTGGGTTGATAATGAAAATGATATCAGCGTAAGAAAATAACAGTAACAGGACAGTATAAGGGATACCGGCATAGGGAAATAACAGTAAAAGGACGGTGTTACGGATACCAGTGTGGGGAAATAAAAGTAACAGGACAGTGTTACGGATACCAGCGTGGGGAAATAAACAGTAATAGGACAGTGTTACGGATACCAGCGTGGGGAAATAAACAGTAATAGGACAGTGTTACGGATACCAGCGTGGGGAAATAACAGTAATAGGACAGTGTTACGGATACCAGCGTGGGGTAATAAACAGTAATAGGACAGTGTTAGTGGGGAAATAACAGTAATAGGACAGTGTTACGGATACCAGCGTGGGGAAATAAACAGTAATAGGACAGTGTTAGATGGGGAAATAACAGTAACACGACAGCGTTACAGTTTACTTTCAACTAATGTTTGTACACACAAACACTACGAAAGAACTGAGATAGTGATTGTGAAATCGCGTTTTTATCAATCACTATAATTATTGTTAATTATATCTTTGAAAGTGGCCAATGATGATAAATATTTAACAACAACAAAAAAACAAAAAAACTTACGACACACATTGTTTTTATCAAACTGAATACCAAAGCAGACGCAATATGCTATGTATTTTTTATTTACTGAGTTTATGATCAAACAACCCGACTTGGATCGACTATTAGACGGACACATAATTTGTAGATTATCTTCCTATTTTATCTGTCCTATTAGAATGCCCCCCAGTAGCACAGCGGTATGTCTGCGGACTT